AGTTCCCAGAGGATTTGGAGTTAGTGGTCAAGCTCCATTGGTGGTCCCTTGGGATAGAGGGAGCTGGCCACCCCTGAAAGATGCAGGAAAGGGGAGGAAAAAACCCATTCCCCCTCCCCCAGAGGGCACTGCAGCCAGTGAGGGCAGAGTAAGTGGGGCCTCAGGCCTGGGGTGGGGGTTGATTGGGGCAGATGAAAGCAAACTGGAGGATGGTGTTACTGGTGGGCTGGAGAAAGCAGGGCAGTGAGTAATGGCGGGGGGGGGGGGGAGAGAAGCTGAGGCCAGAGGAACAGGAGGCTGGAATTAAGGGACCAATAGCTGGAGCCAGTGGGTATATGAGGGGTGGGGCCTGGGTGAGCTATCGCCCCGGTTGAACAAGTGGCTTTAGGGTAAAAGCAGTTGGGAAGCTCGGAGCAGCTTGGATCAATGGGTGGAGAGGAGCCAGGGTCAGGAAGCTACCAGGTTCAGGGCTTCTGGGAGGAGCTGGGGTAGCTCTGAGAGCAGGGGGAGGGGATAGTTAGGCTGGGGGAGCAGGGAGGGTTGTTGGGAGTAGTGGGTGGAGCTTAGGGTTGTGTGGGAACTGAGACCCCTGTGGGGCAGAGAGCTTGGGATGGGTGGTTTGGTCCTGGGAGGTTAGGGAGGCTTCAGGGAGCTAGGAGCTTGACAGTCAAGTGGGACAGCCTGGCCCCGAATAGAGGGAGAAGCTGGTCTCGGAAGCATGGGAAGAAGGTGTGACACGATTCCCCAAGTGGGTGGTCTGCAGCGCCGTTACTGGGGCTGTCTGGTTCGAAATGCAGGCACCACTTCTGACTGACCTGAAAGAACTGGCTCTGTTAGCCAAAGCTCTAGCAGGCTCATCAACCTCTGGATGTGGGCCAGCCACACTACTAGAGAGGGACAGAGCCACCTGGAGTAGGTGTGGGTTGCACACCAGAGGAGGGAACGCTGCAGGAGCTGGGACAGTGAGGGTCTGTTTATACTGCAATCACAGGGTATGACTGCAGTATAGACATACCTTGAGTCGGGGCCTGCTCTCACCACCTCAGCAGTATGGTGGAGAAAGGGGCAGCCCTGTCCCCAAGGCCCGGCCAGTGACGATCATCTCATAGGGAGCATGGCACAGGGCCCCTCACTGCCTGACTGTACTTGTTTAGGGTTATACAGTTATACAGTGAGTACAAGGAGCCCACGCACTCCTGACACTCTGGAAATGTGTGATAAAAGTGGACTAGTCCAGTAGCCACCATTGACCAGTAATTCACATCAGTAGCCCAGCAGCTGGGAATGACCTGAGATCTTTGTGACCTGCAGTTTCAAGCAGCTTGGGAACAATGGTCTTTGCAGTATGCCCAGAAGGTCGATAGACTAGGGCTCTTTGCTGTGCTAGCCAATGCCCTGATTCTGGGCCATGTGCTAAGCCCTTTACATAGTGTGCTTAGCATAAAAGGGGATGGAGCCCAAGCACAGGGATTCCCCTAGTGAAGGGGGGAGGACAGCTGATGTTAAAGGGGGGCTGCTCATTGCCCCAAGGTTAGGGGCATGCTGGGAGAGGAGTGTTGGTGGAGGAGGGAAGAGAAGGAGGGAATTGCCAGAACACTGCGCTCTGGCTGTCCTGGTTTGCTGGATGGCTCCATAGGCAGGAACCATAAGTAGGGCAGCCCCTGGAATGCTCTGGTTTACACACGAAGGCACAAAAGCAGCACCTGGTCACCTTTGTTCTCCTCCCCTCCCTGCCAATTCCAAGCCACATCTGAGGCGGCAGCCACACTTTAAGAGCTTACTGTGCTCACGTTGGGGGGGGGACCCAGTAATTTCCATCCAAGAATACTGAAAGAGCCGGCACATGAAATTTAAATCCAGTAGCAAGGATGTTAATAAAACTATCAAACTGAGGGTGGTACCATGTGACTGGCAAATCACTAATGTAATACTTAAGAAAGGGGGGCAGGGGCGTGATCTGGGCAATGATAGACCTGTCAGGGTCTGTCTACACAGCAAAGAAAAACCTGCAGCTGGCCCATGCCAGCCGACTCGGGCTTGTGGAGCTTGGGCTGCTTCATTGAACTGTAGACTTCCAGGCTCGGGCTGGAGCCTGAGCTCTGGTCCCACCTTTCAGGGTCCCAGAACTCTGGCTTCAGCTTGAGCCTGGAATGCAATGGAACCACCCCGCAGCCTGAGCCCCATGAGCCTGAGTTGGCAGGCACGGGCCAGCCGCAGGTGTCTAGTTGCTGTGGAGAAATACCCTTAGTCTGACCTCAATAGTATATAAGGCTTTAAATATATGGAAGTAAATGGAAAAAGGGACACAATCAAGGGGGATTAGCTCAGTGGTTTGAGCATTGGCCTGCTAAACCCAGGACTGTGAGTTCAATCCTTGAGGGGGCCATTTAGGGATCTGGGGCAAAAATTGGGGATTGGTCCTGCTTTGAGCAGGGGGTTGGACTAGATGACCTCCTGAGGTCCCTTCCTACCCTGAGATTCTATGAATGCAGCATGGGTTTACCAAAGGAAGACAATGCCAAGCTAACCCAATGTCTTTCTTTGATCATTGATATTTTAGGTGAGGGAAATGCCATAGATCTAATATCAGTAAAGCATTTGATACGTTACTGTGTTATTAGTGAAGCAGGAGAAGATGGGAGTTTGTACAAGAATTGTAAGGTGGTAACTAGCTAAAGGAGAAAAGACAACAAGTTGTGCTGAAAAGTGAATGATGGGCTGGTGGAAGGCTACTCAAGGATCAGTCTTGGGGCCAATCTTGAATATTTTTATTAAGGACCTTGGCACAAGAAGTAGGATGAGAACTAATGAAATTTGCTGATGACACAAAGTTGAGGGTTACCATCAGTACAGAGGGGGGTCAGACTAGTACACAAGAAGAACTGAATGACCTAGAGGACTGGGGTAAGAGAAATGGGATGAAATTTAATAGTACAAAGTTCCAGCTCATGCAGCTAGGGACTAATAACAAGAATTTCTGCTACAAGCTGGAGGCTCATCAGTTGGACGTGACCAAGAAGGAAAGAGACTTGTGTATGTGGGTTAATTGTAGGATGACTGTGAGCCACCAATGTGACGTGGCTGTGAAAAAGCAAATGTGATCCTTGGGTGGATCAGGCAAGGCATTTCCTGTAAAGATATTGAAGTATTAATGCCATTGTACAAGACACTGGTAAGACCTCCCCTGGAATACTGTGTACGCTTCTGGTTACCCATGTTAAAACCAAAAACCCCCACACCAGCTGGAACAGATGCAGAGAAGGGATACTAGGTTAATCAGGGGAATGGAGAGCCTGTCTTAGTAGAGGAAATTAAGAGCTTGGCTTTTTTAGCCTTGCAAAAAGAAGGCTGAGAGGGATCTGTGCACTTTATAATTACATCGGGGAGGAAGGGGAGTGGAAGTGGGTAAATTTTATGGCGGGTGAAGAGCTATTTAAACTAAAGCACAATGTTGGCAGAAGAACAAATGGGGATAAACTGTCTATGAACAAATTTAGGCCTGAGATTAGAAGAAGCTTTCCAGCCATCAGAAGATTGAGGAAAAACAGCTTCCCAATAGGAGCTATGTGGGCAAAAAACATAACTAGTTTTAAGATAGAGCTTGACAAATTTATGAGTGAGATGGTATGATGGGGTTACTTGTGGTATTGGGGGCAGGACTCAGCAGCCATGGTAGTCTCTTCCAGTTCATGTCTTATGTTCCTAAAATCCTGTGCTTCAGGACTTCAGCTGGTCACTTGTAGAGGCCAGAAAGGAATGGCCCCCAATGTATTCTGGTGTTTGGGGTGAGACGGATCCTTCCTCTGAAGCATCAGAGATGGCCACGGCTGGAGTTGGGACCTAGATGGGATGGGTCAGTGCTCTCAGGTGGTTCTGCAAATTCTCTCTCAGGACTTGGCTATTGAGTCTTGCTCACATGCTCAGGGTCTAATTGATCACCATATTTGGGATTGGGGAGGAATTTCCCCCAGGTCAGACTAGCTCTCTCTCTCTAAGTGGTCTTGGTGCCACTTGATGGGACAGAAACCACACCCAGGAGGTGTGTGGGTTACACACGTAAAAGTGCTCCTCCCCTAGTACCATGCTAGCCAGAAAATACCTTGGGGGATTTTCATCTTTCTCAGCAGCATCAGGTGTGGGTCAGTTGCTAGAGTGATCTCAGCATGTCTCACTAAATTGATTCCCTGCCATTGCCTCGGGCACTGGTTCACCCTGGGTCCCTCCTCTTCTCTGCCTGTGGCACAGAATAGTCTAGTCTCCTGGGGTCTGAAATATGTTGGTCTAATTCTGGTTGTTGGGTTTGTTGTGGGGGTGGCTGGAGGGGTTGGTGGCCTGTGCTATACAGAAGGTCAGACATGATGATCTGGAGGTCCATTCTAACCTTAAACCTGTGACTCTGTCTACCTGGAATGTTGATACATTTTCTGCTTAAACACAGGGGGGCCTAATTCATCCCTTATCTGTTCTCCCTGCACCCAGCCACCATCTGTAGATTGTCTTCTCCTTTCCTGAATTGTGCTTTGCCCAGGAAGATCTCTGAGATATCCTTGTGTAATGCCAACAGACCCCTGTCATAGGTGGGTGGGATCGAACTGGGGTCTCTGGAGCTTAGTGCACAAGCCTCTACTGCGTGAGCTAAAAGCCATGTGGCTGTTAGTTAAGGCTGTAGAGCAGACTCATTAATCTCTCTCTCTAAGTGGTCTTGGTGCCACTTGATGGGACAGAAACCACACCCAGGAGGTGTGTGGGTTACACACGTAAGAGTGCTCCTCCCCTAGTACCATGCTAGCCAGAGGCCCTCAGCATCTGTTCGGGAGCCGATCCTGCTCGTTGCTGTAAACCATCAATTCCAAGGCAGGTTGTTTTACTCAGCTGCAGTTTAAAAAATGGAGGAACAAACATACACTAAACATTCAGCACGAGAGAACAGATTTTTTTACAACGTAGTTTTATACATTTTTTTTTTTAAAAAGCCACAATAACATTTCTGTTTGTTCATTTTGGACCATACTTGGATCACCAGCAGAGTTGGAACCTTTAGATGCACAGCACAGACCTCTGAGCATTAGCAGACTGTTCGCTTGTGGGGGACCATCCACTAAAGGGGGATGAGGCAGCCACTTTGCCAGTGGGTTTCATAGCTGTTGGCTAACAGCAGAGGAATGTGGAGATGCAGGAATACTGGGTTCAGTTACAGGTTCTGGAGGGGAGTGTCCTCTTATGATTGAGGACCCTTCTGCCCCATCCCCCTCTGCTCCTACTCCAGCCTCTGCCCCTCTTTTCCCCCCTCTGCTCCTCCACCCTTTTTATTTGAGCCAGACTGCTGCCTTGTCCTGAGCCTGTCCCCACAGCAGCCCCCAGCAGCTGGGAGGAGGAATTAGAGGGAAAGTCCTGCGGAGCCCCCACTGTCCTGGGGTGGAGCGTGCTCTGTGGGGACAGAATACCATCAGTCTGGTCAGCATGTACATGCACCGGGATGGAATGGTACATGCACTGTGCAGTTGGATTCAGATAATAATGCTGCCAGTCTCTACTGAGTGTTGATGTGTGAACCAAAATCTTAAAGGCTTAAAATGTGACCAAACTTGGGCAGGTTTTCAATGAGACAGAAAAGGCACATCCAAGACTATAGGGTAACCTCCCTGCCAAATGTCAGGCCCTGCTTCAGAGCCTGGAGGGGCTAGAGTTTCACAGTGAAATGGTTGTAGGGGGTTTTGTGCACATAGGCAAAACAATGTATTTTTTCCTCTTAACCTTGTTCTCAGAAACAGCTGAACAGGTTCTAATAACATCTAAAAAGAGTCAGGCTGAGGTAGACACCCAGCATTGGGAATTTCAGCCCAAACCCTTAATGTTTGGCAAAGTTATATGCAACTGAAAACACGTCTTATCACTGAAAGTGTCCGTCAGCCTTCCCTAGAGGTGACGCTACCAGCTCTGCCTAAAATACCCATTTCAAAGAAGTCATTGGCTCCCATGTAAATGGTTTGTGGATGCACATATGGAATCAATTCTGTGGCCTGTTAACAAAGGACAGGTGCACTCCTGGGTGAGCAGGAATCCTCCTGGAAAGGGACTTTTTGATGGAACACCAATACATACTTAATAAAAAATTGCTTCTTCCCTACTTCTCTTGGATTCCCTGGCTGCACTGTACAGCCATAACACACAGCTCCCCATAACCAGTGTGGTTCCTGGAGGAACAGCCAAGGCAGGCCTGACGCTGGGATTGTAAGGGCTCGGCTGGAAACCGAAACCTTTCTGAGCCCTTGCCACTTGCCTGCCCCCTGCTGGTAATCGTTGGGAGTTTGGAGAGAAGTATCCTTGGTCATGTGATGCTGGGTGTTACACAATTGAGAGCCTGGCTAGTGCTTGCTGGACCTGAGTTAGTTAAAGTGTGGCCGTGGGGAGCGGGGAGGGAGAGGGGCTGGCTCGTGTTTGGGTCACGTGTGTGCAGGGGGAAAGGGGCTGGTTCATGCTTTCTTTAATTCTTGCTAGGTCTTTGATGTGGAGACTTCTGTGCAACACGCTGCTCTGACCCTCCCCATCCTTCCGCTGTCCCTGCTGCGGGCAGGGCTGTCTGTCTGAGATGGCGGGCCGGCTGCCTCGCTCTGCGGACCTAACCCGCTTCTGCCAGAAACTCAACCGGGTGAAAACTCTGGAGGATGACATGATGGAGACAACCTTCAACAGATGCCTCTCCACCATTGACCTGATACTGCTGGGCATAGGGGGCATGGTTGGCTCTGGCCTGTATGTCCTTACGGGAACAGTAGCCAAGGAGATCTCTGGCCCTGCTGTCATTGTCTCTTTCATCATTGCTGGCTTTGCCTCTCTGCTGGCTGCTCTCTGTTATGCCGAGTTCGGTGCCCGGGTGCCTAAGACAGGCTCCGCATACATGTTCACCTACGTCTCCATGGGTGAGATCTGGGCCTTCCTGATTGGCTGGAATTTGCTCCTGGAGTACATGATCGGGGGCGCTGCAGTGGCAAGGGCATGGAGTGGCTACCTGGATTCCATATTTAGTCATAAAATAAAAAATTTCACCGAAACCCACATTGGCACATGGCAGGTGCCGTTCCTGGCACATTACCCAGATTTCCTGGCAGCAGGCATCCTGCTGATAGCCACAGTATTCATCTCCTTTGGGGCCAAAGTGTCCTCCTGGCTTAACCATGTGTTCTCTGCCATCAGCTTGGGTGTGATCCTCTTCATCCTCATTATGGGATTCATTCTTGCAGAGCCCAAGAACTGGAGTGCCCAGGAAGGCGGCTTTGCTCCGTATGGACTGTCGGGCATCATGGCAGGCACGGCCACCTGCTTCTATGCCTTTGTAGGCTTTGATGTCATAGCAGCCTCCAGTGAAGAAGCCAGAAATCCTCAGAAGGCTGTTCCCAGAGCAATAGCCATCTCCCTGGGCCTGGCCACAGGGGCCTATATACTGGTGTCTGTGGTGCTGACACTAATAGTGCCCTGGCACACTCTGGATCCTGACGCTTCCCTGGCAGATGCGTTTTACAGAAGGGGTTACTCGTGGGCAGGGTTTATAGTCGCTGTTGGTTCCATTTGTGGTAAGTATGGACAGGCTGAAACCTCATGTCCAGACTCCCAGTGCCCCAGTCCCTGGGCTAGTAGCTAGGCCTGTGTCCTCTGGCAGGGTACGTGAAAGAAATAACATCTCCAGTTATGCACTGCATGTTTCCAGGGCCTGAGTCATAGCCTCAAGGCTACTGGTTTGTGCTCAGAGCCCTGTATTCCATTTCCAGGTTTGCCACTGACTCTGTGTGACCTCGGACAAGTCACTTAACTGCACTGTGCAATGTTGTGTAATAGTAAATGCTGTGTGCTAACTCCACCTCCTTGGAGGTTGCCTCCCCTGGGAGTTGCTCCCATTGTCTGGGGTTGCCTGTTGATCTGTCCTGGGACTGAGGGAATGAAGCAGCGTCCTGGATAGAGTTCCTACTCCCAGGCAATCTTTCCTGATGGCAAAGTATTCTCTGGGGCTCCAGGGTCCTGGATCTAAAACCGCTGAGGAGCAATGGCCTCCACTGGAGTGAGCAGATGAGCCTGATCATGACCTCCTCATGGGAGAGATCCCTGCACTCCTTGGCAGGTGCACATGAGCTCAGGAACTGCACTGCTGCCGTGTCCCTGAGCCAACTCTGGTCCCCAGGGTGGCGTGGGCAGGTTTGGGTGTGTGGCTCTGACTCTGACCCCGTGGCCTCTCTCTTTCTTTATCCTTCCTCCCCCCAGCGATGAACACGGTTCTGCTGAGCAACCTCTTCTCCCTCCCCAGAATTGTTTACGCCATGGCGGAGGACGGGCTCTTTTTCCAGGTGTTCTCCAGAGTGCACCCCCGCACGCAGGTGCCCGTGATCGGGATTGTGGTGTTTGGGGTGCTCATGGCTCTGATGGCCCTCATCTTCGACCTGGAGGCCCTGGTGCAGTTCCTGTCCATTGGCACTCTGCTGGCTTACACCTTCGTGGCAGCCAGCATTGTTGTGCTGCGCTTTCAGCAGGAGAAATCGGCAGCTCCCCCTCAGCCTGCCAGGAGCCAGCCCAGTCCTGGGCCCAACGAAGGGGCTGGCCCCAGCGAGCTAAAGGAATATGAATCCTTTTCAGACAAGCTGCAGCTGGTGGGCACGTACAAAGCCAAAGTGCACCGGCAGCCAGGGAAGCTGAAGGCAGCTTTCGAGCCCTACCTGGAGTTCCTCACTGACTTCCATCCTGGGGAGGTGGTCACCATTGCCGTGGTTACCTTGATGGTGTCTGCCATATGCCTGTGCTCCATCTTGGTATTTGGCAACACCCATCTTCATCTACCCACCTGGAGCTACTCCCTGCTGCTGCTGCTCTTCAGCCTGGGATTTCTGCTCAGCGTGCTTCTCATTTGGGTCCATGAGCAACAGCAGAGCACCCAGACCTTTCAGGTAGCCATCTGCCCATTTCATTCTCATTGCTTGCTGTGGCCTGGGGGAGGTTGGAGTGGCCCATGCACAATAATGTCTGCAGTAGAGAGGAAGCCTGGGCTTGTGGCTAAAGTGCAGGCTTTTCTTTTATTGGATCAACTTCTGTTGGTGAGAGAGACAAGTTTTTGATTTACACAGAGCTCTTCTACATCTGACACCTTCATCTTCATCTCTGAATGTCCAAAATTAAGCATAATTAATATTAATTAGTTACAGTTAACTCAAGTGATTAACTCAAAACAAATTAACTCGATTTAAAAAATTAATCACAATTAATCACAGTTTTAATTACTCCGGTAAACAGTAATAGAATGCCAATTTAAATTTTTTGATGCTGATCTACATTTTTCAAATATATGGATTTCAATTATAACACAGCACATGAAGTGTACAGTGCTCAATTTATATTTTTATTAAATACTTGCATTGTAAAAAAAGATAAACAAAAGATAGTACTTTTATGAAGTGAATTGAAAAATACTGTAGTATAATCTCTTTATCTTGAAAGTACAACTTACAAACATAGAATTTTTTAAAATAACTGCACTAAAAAATAAAACAATGTAAAACTTTAGTGTCTACAAGTCTACTCAGTCCTCCTACTTGTTCAGCCAATCGCTCAGAGAAATGAGATACAAGAGATAATGCTGCATGATTCTTATTTACAATGTCACCTGAAAGTAAGAACAGGCATTCATGTGGCACTGTTGTAGCCAGGGTTGGAAGGTATTTATGTGCCAGATTAGCTAAACCTTCATATGCCCCTTAGTGCAATCTACAAGTTGAAGCAAGATCGTTTGTTTATCTCTTTCCAGTGCAAATATTTGTAATAAAAAATAACATAGTGAGCACTGTACACTTTGTATTCTGTGTAATTGAAATCAATATATTTGAAAATGTAGAAAAACGTCCAAAATGTTTATAATAAACTTAAATTGGTATTCTATTAACAGTGCAATTAAAACTGCAATTGCAATTAGTATTTTTAATAGTTTGACAGCCCTAATATTAACTATTTGCATCAATCCTTTCTCAGTTATTTCCTAACAACTCCTATGCAGCAGTGTGGTCTAACTACCTACCTAGTGCCTGGTAACCTAAAGACCAAACACACCCTGAACTCCCTTCTTCAGAAATCTTGCCCTGTCCCTTTCATGGTCTCCTGCTTACCTTCTGTGAATAAGAGTGCAAAACTATGACCTAAAGTTATATTCCTCTAGGCCTATACTATCATAACTAAAACCCAGCCTTTAGTGTAACTACTTCTATTAGGCCTCCTACAACAAATCCTTAATCTAGCAAACCTGGTAACCCAATTACTTATAAAGAAAAGGAGTACTAGTGGCACCTTAAAGACTAACCAATTTATTTGCGCATAAGCTTTCGTGAGCTACAGCTGTAGCTTATGCTCAGATAAATTGGTTAGTCTCTAAGGTGCCACAAGTCCTCCTTTTCTTTTTGCAAATACAGACTAACACAGCTGCTACTCTGAAACCAATTACTTATGTTCACCTGCTTGCCCCCCATGTCTGTTTCAACCTAATAAGCAAAACATCAAGGTCAATCATATACCCCGAGTATAATGATATAGGGGAAAGGGAAAGCAAGGGAAAGGTCATAGGTCAACAACATTTAAAGAATTTTTCTCAGCAGTTGTCTACACTTCAGTGTCCTTTGAATGTGTGAGCTCAGCCTTAGTTGTGACTGTCGTAGGTGTGGTCTCTTCTGGTCACTGGTTGCTCTTTTCCTTGCAGATACCACTTGTGCCACTCACTCCTGCACTGAGCATTCTCCTGAACATCTATCTCATGCTGAAGCTGAGCTACATGACATGGCTTCGATTCTCCATCTGGTTGATCCTAGGTGAGTTCAGGAGGTGGCTAATCAGTGATGTTAACTCTCCTGAAAAGCAGGCCCATTCTAAGCTGAGGAGCTGGTTGACATCCATGGTGATGCTAGGCTAGGGAGTTGTAGGCCAAGTGTTTGATAAAATGCATCTTGCTATCAGTGGGAAAATGAATTAAAATTGTCTTGGGTTAAAAAACTAAAAATCAGTGAAATGGCCCTGGCTGGTCTGGGGAAGTAAGAAGGGAAATCAGGCCAGTGGCCTGTTGGGGCTTTGGTTTTTAACTCACCAGCAGGTTGTGTGGATACTACACTGGTCAGGGCCATTATAAAGAGAAGGGAAGTGATACTGTCACATGGTCTGAAACTGGTGGAAGGACCATAGACAATGGGCCATGGCAAATGCCAGTTGGTTGAGTAGGTGGGCAGGGGCTGGTGGGGCCCTGCAGCATTGGCATTGGGCCTGCTTTCATTCTCCCTTTCTTTCCTAGTCAGTCTCCATCGCACACATCGGGGGTCTCTCCCTCCCGCCTTGGCTGAGCCAGACACTGCTTAGTTATGCTCCTCTCCTCCAAGATCTTTTGCCTTGCTGCTAAAGCAAACTCTCTCTCTCTCTGCTGCAACAGGCCTCCTGGTGTACTTTGGTTACGGCATCTGGCACAGCAAAGAGAACCTGCGTGAGCTCACGTCCTGCAACGTGAGTGCCCGCTACGTGGTGTTCCCTAGCAGCAGCCTGGAGGAGACGGTGCAGGCGGTTCAGCCCAACCCCCAGCCCTCGACGGGGCTGTCGGACATGGTGACTGAGGAAGCCAAGCGATGATGCGTCTATGGCATAGCAGCCTCCCTGAGTGAAAAAGGACACCCCCCCACCCCCACTTTTCTCTGCAGAAAGAGCTGCCAGGGCTGGGTCTTCCCTGAGCAAACTCTGGTGTTTGGAGACAGGATGGTGATATGCACACTTCCCCATCGGCACTCACAGCAAAATCACCAGGGAGATGATGGCTGCCTCCTCTCCCATACCCTGGCACATGGGGATCTGGCTTTTCTCTACCTACTTCTAGCTCTTAGTAATGTGAAAGCCGCGTCTTCCCCAACGGCTCTGCCCAAATCTCCTCCCAAACCCAGAACAACCCTCATAGCAACAGAGGGGTCACATTTCTTTTCTACAGTTCCACCATTCTGTGCCCTGCCTGTCCTGAAATGTTGCGGGGCAGCAGTGCCAATGTGGCCATTCCCACCAGAGCCCACCGTGGTCCATGGTGTATGATGAAGGGTCTCTGGTAAACAGGCAAGAGTTGACACACAGGTGCGTGTAGGCCTGGGAGTCAGGGCTTTATCCTGGCTCTCACAGGGACTCCTGGCCTCGGCTGAGTCCCTTCTCCCTGCACCTCATCAGCATGCGAGTGATGCTTATACTGAGCAGCTGGTGGGCTTAATTAGATGATGTGTGTAAAGCACTTGGAATGTGCAAAGCTCTAGAAGTGCAAAGTATTAGGGCATTTCTGCACTAGCTTTCCTGGGCTTCTTGGCACAGACCATTGGGTGCTGATCAGGCACCTGCTGGCATTCCCTGCCCTGGTCCAGGTCCAGTGCAAGTACCTAGTTTGGTGGGATCACACCCAGGGCACATTCATGTGGTTCCATTATTCTAAAAGGCACAGAAATGAGCATGGGGCAGCCCAGGCCTTCGTACTGAGTGGGGATGGCAAAGGTGAGGCCAGGGCAAGGCGCTATGGTTGTAAATCCATGGCCTCACAGGGGCAAGTGCAGAGGGAGCAGAGATTCCCCATACCCTTTGTTAGCTGTTCCCAGGCGAATGGTTTCTAGACAATCAATCACTTTACTAGTGCAGTGGAATAGTGCATTACCCTCGCTGTGCCCTTGCTCACTCATCCCAAGCAGCTGGGCTGCCTGCGCATCAGCCTGACTCTCATGTCCCCCCAGCCGCCCACACACGGGTTAGTTTGCAGCGCTCAGCCCTGTATGACACACAGGCCAGCTAGTCCCTGCCCGGCAGCTACCGCACTCTGAAAGTGAGAGGCAGGACCTAGGCATGCTCTGTGTTTCTGAGAACGGCCTGGGACTTGTGTCCTGACTCAGTGCTGAAGTAGCTTGCAGTGGCCTAGGGCCCCATCTGTGAGACAGCTGCTTCTCAACCCCATCCCACCGCTAACACCAGGCCCTGTAAGGGGCTGCTTTGGGCTCCAGCTCCTGTGCCCCTAGCCCCTTGCAGTTTCCTTGGGGCCCTACAGGCTGCTCTCGTGGCATACAGGGATGGGGGCAGGCCCTCACTTCCCCAGTGCCCTGGCAGGCTCCAGCCCTTAGGCTGTCCCTGCTCTATTGCCAGCTTTCATGTAAATTGGGCTGCAGCATCCCCTGCAAAGCCAGCTTTGGGCTCCCCTCTGCAGGGTGTCAGGGTGAGGCCTTGCCCTGCGCATCAGGTCATTGCTGAGGCTCCTTTTCCCACAGTTCTCCTTTGCCCATTGTCTCCTCTTGGCTGCTGTGCTGTGAGCTACTGAGCCCAGCTCTGACATTAGGCCAGTGCCCAGGGCGAGCGTGAAGGTGGCAGTTGTTTACTGTACATATCCCTCACCCTCCGCAGCTGCATACGTGAGTGGTCATGGCAGCTGTCCCCTGCCCCCACAGTGTGAGGTGCAGATAGGGCTTGGGCCAGGTGTAAGCCTCACACTCACCTGCGAGTACGGCATTGTTACTTGGTGAGCTTCCGGCTGAGGCCTAGCTACTCGTATTTATTAGGAGGAAATGTGCAGAGCCAATGCAAGCACCACAGAAAGCACCACAGCCAGGCCCTGCAGCAGAGCATTGGGAGCGGCTTGCACAAGGCAGGAGATGGGGAGCAGGGAAGGGACACTGGGCTTCCGTTCTGACAGGCTGGCTGTTTGTCGGCTGGGGCTGCTCGTGGAGCCCACAGGAGGCAGCTGTGCCGCATGGGCATTGTGAATTTGCTGTGACTGCCAGAGCGGGTGTACTTAGCACACGCTGTTCTGGGTCCTGCCTGCTCCATGCTCTGTTGGTGCCACCTTGCCCTGCACTGGCACTTGTGTTGTGTGAAATGTGCCACACCGGGGGCTGCTGTTGCCAATGGCGTGGTATGTCCCTGCTGTGCTCTGCTCAGTGCCTGTGTAACGGTGTGTAATAAAGGTGCTGACACTCACCCTACATATAAATAATGGTCCTGCAATAGTTCTTTCTGGGCGGGAGTCTGTCCACACTGCTCTGGAGTCACTCTAAATGAAAGTGGAGTCAGCCTGGTGCAAGTCTGAGGCCATCCCTTCTGTGGTCCTGGGGGGCCAGCAAAACCCCTTCTGAGGCACCCCACTGCACCAGCAGGGATTAGGGCATGGCTCTTCTTGTGCTTTGCTCTTCCAAAGCTCCAACAGCTTTGCTGCATCATGCCCAAGTCCTGCAAAGACTGAACCAAGGCAGAAGCTCCAGGACTGGGAGGCTGGCTGCTGTGTGTTGGCCAACTCCATATGGAGATGAGTTTGAGGCTCCCCTTTGAGGAGCAAGTCTACACAGCAGCAGGGGTATAGTATCTTCGCTCCTGTGTCACTAGCCCCAGCCTTTAATAGGCCACAGGGCTGGATTAACACAGACACTACAGATCCATGCCTAGGGCCCCAGCTGCTGGAGTCACGTCAGCACCTTAAAATTTGTCAGTCCCCTGGCTGTAGTTGTTGCATAGAAAAGGTGGAAGACACAAACCCAATGTATCAGTGCACTGACACCTCCTGAGGAGTTAACACCCTGATGCAATGCCCCATCAGCCCCAGGCCACCAAGGGACTGTGTGAGTAGCTAGAGGAAAAGAGGGCTGGCCCACCCACACAAGCTGATACTTCCCAGCTGCCAGGACACGCACTGGAGGGGTCCCTGCTGCCACACCTGCCTGTCTGAAAAGACATGGTGGGGACCATGCCACTGCCATTTCAGGCAGGGGGTGAATTCATGATGGGGAGCAGGGCTGCAAGTGGCCCTGCATTAGGCATAGCAGAGCCTTAGGCTTGGCCCCAACCCATACCTCCAGCTTTCTTTGCCATAGCTCCCCTCCAAACTTGTTCTTGGAGCCCCCTTTCCTCCTGCCTGTCCCACCTGCCATATTGTCAGGGTATCGCCCTGCTCATGGTCCACTCCAGGAGTGTCCAGGCAGGTCTCAGAGTTCCAACTGTCACCTGCCTCTGGGCAGTGACCCTTGGTCACCCTCCCTCCTGCCTTACAATGTGATGTCCCCAGCAAGCCAGTCTGCACCCATGCATTGCCCTGGATCCGGGGGCTCCGCACAGTGTATTGCCAGCAGTTACAAGTAACAGCATCGCTCTTTTTAAGTAGGCACTTTTATTTTTAAAGTAAGAATAATAAAAGTTCCTATGCAGATGCTTAAAGGTTACAAGAGGACCCCCATTTGGAGGGTTGCATTCTGTCAGAGGGCAGCCTTACCTGGGGTGTCCTCCAGCACCAGGCTGTGGCACAATTAGTGCACCTGCCTCAGTTTCCCTCCTTCAGAGTCCCCAGTAACTACACCAGAGCTCTCTTGCCTCAGTTAATATCCCTCTTTGGGACTGGTTTATTAGTCAGTTCAAATAATCCACAACAAAAGTCCTCAAATATAGTCAAGCACTGAAAATACCACATCTGGTCCCCTCATTCCAGTGTCTCATATGTAGGACACTGGCATCTTCTGCCACACCCAGGGTCTTCAATTCTTTCCTGTCCTTTTGCCAGGACAGCTACCACAGCCCTTCCAACTGGAATGCAACTCTGCTCTTCTCCACAACCTCTCTGCTGGCAGATTATCCTCACAGGGGAGCATCCCTCTGGCTCCAGCTCTCCAGTGTGATGTCAGCTGGCAAACCCCACCACTGCTCCCCTGCCTTCAGCCCTCTCTGGCCCTTGGCTTTTCCTCCCAGACTTACAAGTCAGCAGCCTCTGCTGCTCTCTCTCTTAAGAAGGTCAACGAGCATTCCTCCCTGCTGCTTTCCTGCCTTTCTCCAGAATCACCTACAGCTTCTTTCAGGTCTTTGCAGCTCTCACCTGCCCCTTTTCTTCTCTTAAAATCCAAGTTGGAGGCAGTCGATCAGTCACAGGAGCACTGGCTCCTTTTCTCTTAAATGGCCAGTGCCATCTTTTGACAATACCAAAAGATTGGAACATCTGTTAGAGTAATCAGATAGCAGGAAATGAAAGCCAAGAGCCAGACATGAATTGCAGATGAATTATTTATTTCTAAACATTATGAGGCTGGCATTTTAAAGTAGCATGCAGTAACATAACCCTTAGCATTCCCCTGACAGGCTCCTCTCAGACAAAGTGCACATCTGCCTTCACAGCCCCAGAGTAGGCAGGCACAGGCTTGGCTTTCTCCTTCAGGTGGGAGAAGAGAAGTGGCAACTCACAACGAAGGGAAACCTGTGTCGTTATCTGCCAAGAGGCTGCTTTGGGAAGGAGAGCTTACTCCAGCCAGATGTCTGCTTTTAAAAAGACCAGTTCCTGCCTTTGATACCAGAAGCTGTTAAATGCCATCCCATCATTTGCAGTTCTTTACCTGCAACACAAGCACCCCCTCACAGTAGCAAGGCAAGGCTGCATTTGAGATGGAGCAGCAAATACTGCTCACTACTCCAGATTGATCCACTCACACATACACACATCACGAAGATGTTGCAGCCCTTTGCCTGCTTTCCAGAAGGACCCACTCAGTTGGGCACTCTGAAAACACCTCCACGGCACTAACTGGCTGCCAAGATCATATCGAGCATGGTCTGGTCTCTGGTGTGTTAGTAAAGCCATGCCAACACTGCACATGGAAGAGGATTACTGGTCTCCTTGAGAAATCTTGTGCCTTACACATACCTTCCAAGTGCCCAGAAACTCTGTGTCTGGTCTTGTGGGCACATTTTCCACAGATCACATCACCCAAGAGCGTGGACTCTGGGCTGGATGGACACTGCATTGGCCACTAAAGAACTTAATTTTCTTATTCAGAGACCACAAGTTATTCCTCAACAGCTGTACTTGAGGAGCTGGGTAGCGAACAAATGGGGAATCAGAGTGGACGCCGTGCGCTGAGGGGTGCAGGGTATAAAAGAAGCACAATGCTCTCCACTTGTCCCCTCTGCTCTTCATGGCCCCCAAAGAAAAGGACTAACAATTTTAGTTGTTTCTTCTACACTTGGTGACCAGTGGCTTCTCTCCAATGTTACAGAGCAAATGATGTAAGTAGCCTGTTCTTTAGTGTGACGTTCAGAGGGAGATTCTGGACAAAGAGGAGCTGTGCCCTACTCAGGGGAAAGCCTTCTCTGGTTGCAATTCCTTCTGCTGCAACTTCCGTATCAGCTCTAACAAGTTAATCTGTAAAGTCAGCTCCTGTGAAGGGAAAGACTTTAATGAAGAAATCAGACAGTCCCATTTCTCTGACACTGGCTGCTAGAAAGAGCTGCAGAGGGAGAACCTGGTCTGCAGCACACAGACTGTCAGTCACACTAGGGGAGTGAAAGGGAAAAACTGCCCATGCAGAACTAAGGCTTATTTTGGTTTAAACACATCCACAAAATATGAAGTACATCACCACATGAGATCTGATGCAAATCATCCCATTACAGCAGGGGTGGGCAAACTTTTTGGCCTGAGGGCCACATCTCAGTATGGAAATTGTATGGAGGGCCAGCTGGGGCAGGGGATTGGTGCGCATGGGGGCGATAAGGGCTCCAGCTGGGGTGCAGACTCTGGGGTGGGGCTAGGGATAACGGTTGGGGGTGCAGGAGGGTGCTCTGGGCTGGGATCAAAGGGTTTGGAAGGCGATCAGGGCTGGGGGCAGGTGGTTGGGACGTGGGGTGGCGCGGCTCAGTGGTGCAGGTGTGGCTCCTGGAAACAATGGCCCGTCCTCCTCCGGCTCCCATACAGAGGCGGGGCCATGCCATTCTGCACGCTGCCCCGTCCGCAGGCACTGCCCCCACTGGCTGTGGTTCCCGGCCAATGGGAGCTGTGGAGCTGGTGCTTGGGGCGGGGGCACTGTAGCTGTGTAGCTGGCGCTTGGGGCGGGGTTACTTCTGGGAGCCATGCGGAGCTGCTGCACGCGCAGAGCGGAGCAACGCAAGAGTCGGGAAAGCTCCCAACCCTGCTCCCTGGCGGAAGCTCGAGGGCCGGATTAAAAGGCCTGAAGGGACGTAGTTTGCCCACCCCTGCATTACGAGGTACTGATGCTTTAAGACTCAACACTTTATGAAGGTTCTTTCCTTTTCCACTGCTTGTTCGTCAATACACCAGGTGAGGGGGCACAGTGGCCTGTCGCCTTTGCAGCATGTATGGTACTAGGTGACACTTTCCATTAAAAACTTACAAGTTAAAATGCTCACAAAAGGAAAAGGTGATCACTGAGATTTAGGTCTGGTTGGGTTATTACTTGTACTCCCTTTGCCAAGAACATTACTCAACTGTGAGGAGCTCCCCTGTAAAAACCACTATTATCCTCCTTCAAACCCCTTCTTATAAACGTCCTTTTCTGTGATACCTACAAAAAATTTGACAATGGTTAGGCCCCGGTATACTCAGACCGCTGCCGATAATGCTGTGTCAGTTTTCTCATACTCCCCTATCTGTCTGTCTCCATCTGTTGTTTCTTGTCCTACACAGATTGTAAGGTCTTTTGAGCAGGGGGCCATCTTTTTGTTCAGTTTTTGTAGCGCATGAGCACAGTGGGGTCCTGGTCCACGACGAGGCCTCTTAGACACTATGGTAATGCAGATCAATAATATTTCTGTATTTTTGAAAAATAACTGTATGGAGGCGTTTAGTAGAGCAAACTGGAACAGGAACGTGAGCTGATGGGTGCAGGAGGAGATTTATGGAAAACAATCGGTTATTTCTATTATGGCAGAGGCTGGAGATTCCAACCAAGAACTGTATCCTTTACCAAGTCCCTTTACAGTAGGCAGCTACACAGAGGTGATGGCAGTGATTTATAGATGAGGAAAGCAATCAGCTCACTATATGTTAGGTTTATTTTCTAGCTAAAGCAGACTAAAGTTTCAGGGTTGAGAGGCTCCTGGCATACACTTCTCATCTCAATGTAACCCACAGTAGAAGACTGTGGCTCTTTGTCCCTGTCATAAATATAAAGGGAAGGGTAAACCCCTTTAAAATCCCTCCTGGCCAGAGAAAAAAAATCCTTTCACCTGTAAAGGGTTAAGAAGCTAAAGGTAACCTCACTGGCACCTGACCAAAATGACCAATGAGGAGACAAGATACTTTCAAAAGCTGGGAGGAGAGAGAGAAACAAAGGGTCTGTGTGTCTGTCTATATTCTGTCTTTGCCGGGAATAGACCAGGAATGGAGTCTTAGAACTTTTAGTAAGTAATCTAGCTAGGTACGTGTTAGATTATGATTTCTTTAAATGGCTGAGAAAAGAACTGTGCTGAATACAATAACTATTTCTGTCTGTGTATCTTTTTTGTAACTTAAGGTTTTGCCTAGAGGGGTTCTCTATGTTTTGAATCTAATTACCCTGTAAGGTATCTACCATCCTGATTTTACAGGGGGGATTTCTTTATTTCTATTTACTTCTATTTTTATTAAAAGTCTTCTTGTAAGAAAACTGAATGCTTTTTCATTGTTCTCTGATCCAAGGGTTTGGGTCTGTGGTCACCTATGCAAATTGGTGAGGCTTTTTATCCAACATTTCCCAGGAAAGGGGGGGTGCAAGTGTTGGGAGGATTGTTCATTGTTCTTAAGATCCAAGGTCTGTAGTCACCTAGGCAAATTGGTGAGGCTTTTTACCAAACCTTGTCCAGGAAGTGGGGTGCAAGGTTTTGGGAAGTATTTTGGGGGGGAAGACTTATCCAAACAGCTCTTCCCCAGTAACCAGTATTAGTTTGGTGGTGGTAGCGGCCAATCCAAGGACAAAGGGTGGAATATTTTGTACCTTGGGGAAGTTTTGACCTAAGCTGGTAAAGATAATCTTAGGAGGTTTTTCATGCAGGTCCCCACATTTGTACCCTAAAGTTCAGAGTCGGGGAGGAACCTTGACCGTCCCTCTCTACTGGCTGGTTTACATAAGAAGTTTGAGCCTGCTGCTGTTTCCAGCCAGAGGACTTAGGCCATGTCTAGGCAGTGAGTTAGTGCGTGCAGCAAGCCAGGTTGTAGATCTACAGTTCACCAGGTTGCCAAGCATTAATATGCCATGTAGACAAGCCTTTTGCCCTTTGGTTCATGCAGCTGAGCAAGGATCACACTTCTAACACTGGAGACAGAGTTCAAACCCTCTGTCATGTGGCTGGATGAAACAATGAGGATGGCTTCTGGTATTTTACCCTTCATTTCTAGGGGTTTTTTTTAGCCATTTACTTGTAAGAGTACTGACAAATCTTGCACTCTCTGCTCACAGACCTGTGGGTTTGTGGTGATGTAAAATCCAGACACTCCAGCTTTCTCCAGCGTGCTCTGCTGGTCAACTACTTTTTGGTCCAGTTCCAAGACTATTTTCTCATCCATCAGTCGCTGTTCCTCTCGAATGCGCTGCTCCACAGCCTGAGAAATGAGAAAAAGACACTGGGATTCTAAAGCTAAAGAAGTTTAATGTTCTTCCTCTAGTTACTTTCCTATTAGCTTTTCTCCAGCCCCTGTCTAATGAAACCCAGAAGCTACTTTGATCCTTTGGAAGCTTTTAAAGGGGCCCAGGACCTGTTTGTACTCCCCAAGAATAGCTTATTCTCTGCATTTTTGAAGGACAAGAAGATAGGCTAGGCAGCACCATCATGGTGCCCACCACAATGCATGGGACAACTGCTCTCCTCATGAGGCTGTGAGTTAGAACACCAAGACCAGGTGCATATGTCTCTGCAGAGCAGACCCTGGAGCCAATTTGTTCACAGACCTAATTCCCCAAATCCTGACTTTCTAACAGGAAGGCCAGTTCAGTCATGGCAACCTCTGCAACTACAAACTGATTCTTTGTGGGAACTGCATCCGCCTGGGGAGAGATCAGCGCTCAGTCAGGGTCCAGGGCCTCCTGAAGGGCCATGAGCAGGTTTCAGGGGGTCTGCCACAAATAACCAGAGAGCAGGGCTCGCGTTAGGTCGCTGGGGCCCAGGGCAGAAAGCGGAAGTCCCAGCCCCGTTACCCAAAGCTGAAGCCCAAGCAACTTAGCTTTGCGGGCCCCCTCTGTGGTGTGGGCCCCAGGCAATTGAACCACAGAATCTCAGGGCTGGAAGGGACCTCAGGTCGTCACCTAGTCCCACCCCCTGCTCAGAGCAGGACCAATCCCCAACTAAATCATCCCAGCCAGAGCTTTGTCAAGCCTGACCTTAAAAACCTCTAAGGAAGGAGATTCCACCACCTCCCTAGGTAACGCATTCCAGTGCTTCACCACCCTCGAAGTGAAAAAGTTTTTCCTAATATCCAGCCTAAACCTCCCCCACTGCAACTTGAGACCTTTACTCCTCGTTCTGTCATCTGCCACCACTGAGAACAGCCAAGCTCCATCCTTTTT